ATATATACATACACACACACACGAGGGGGGTTCAATAAGTCTTCGGTCTGGGTATGAAGGAATCATGGTAGAGTAATGTAATTTCTGCAGCGTTTAGACAGCTTCTTTGGAACACACCATGCCCCATTTTCAGGAAAATCTGGCAATAATAAGGCACTAGTCAGTGTGTTCAATGAAACCATGAACAAAAAGCATTTGTTTTTCTTTACTGAATCTGTGCCAAAGAACCTGTTGAATATATCGCTCAGTTATCAAGTTTTTACACTTGCAAGGAAAATCACCTTCGGAAATTTTCAGGAAATGATCCAAGTTTATGGTGACAAATGTCCTCGTTATTATACCGTGACATACAGGGTATGAAAATTCAAATCTGGATTCATGTTTGTGATGGATGAAGATCGTGATGGGCGTCCATCCTTTGTGGTAACTGAAGAGAATTTATCCATAGTAAAGAAACTGGTTCTACAAAACCGATGTATAACTGTTAAACAGCGCTCAAGTGAAACAAGAATCAGTGTAGGGTCAATTGAAACGATTCTCCATGACCATCTTACCATGAATAAGGTGTCTGCTCGGTGGCTACCCCGCCTTTTGACAAGTGAGCAAAAGAAGCAGAGGGTTGAGTCCTGCTAAACGCTCTTTCGAATTGAGCCCAATAGCAAAAAAGCCTTTAAAAACACGGTGACTATGGATGAAACAAGGATTTATCATTTTGATCCAGGACAAAAAATGTCCTCCATGCAATGGAAAGCCCGTTTCTTCTCCCTCACCAAAGAAGGCAAAGGTAACACCGTCAAGTGGAAAGGTCATGCTGTTGTGTTTCTGGTGTTGTGAAGGTATCATCATAATTGACTATCTAGAAAATGGAAAAACAGTCACAGACTCGGGTTTGCTGTTACAATTGTGGTCTGAATTAGTGAGAAAAAGGCGTGGAAAAGTCCATAATGGGTTCCCCCTACTGCATGACAACGCCCTTGCGCACAGGGCACAACAAGCAGTCCAGACAGCAGACCGGTGAGGCTTATTCACCAGACCTAGCCCCCTCAGACTTTTTTCTGTTTCCTTATCTTTAAAAAAAACACTCACAGGACGACGTTTCCATAGCAACGAAGACGCCATTGAAGCTATTGAAGATTGGTTACAGGCCCATTCTGGGTAATTTTTCTCTCAAGGACTTTTGAAGGTCAAAGAGAGGTGGCAGAAACGTGTTACTCTGCATGGTGGCTATGTAGAGAAATAAAAGAGTATGTGCCAAATTACAAAGCTCTATCTTTATTCCTTCGTATTTAGACCAAAGACTTCTTGAACCATCCTCGTAAACCATTAAGTAAAACCCATGGAAGTATTGGAAGTCGCAGAAATGTACGCTATAAGAACGGTGTTTTGAAAAATTCAGTTTTATGGTTTCTTTGTTTCTTCTAAAAGACTGCAAGACTGTTTCATGATTTGGCAGATAAAGTGTTCCATAATTTTGGAGCAGCAATGGAAAAAAAAGAAGATATTTCCTTTTTAAAAAAACCCCATCGATTTGCACGATGTTGGATACGTTTTGACATGTTGTTCCCCCATCTGAATGGGTTTTTTTAAATTCTAGAAAATGTGATATAAGCTATCCACTGCCGCACAGACGCCAGTACTTTTTAAACAGGAGAAATAGTTTTCAGTGACAAAACAGGAAAGGTTACGCTCGAAAACTAGCATAACAAAGTAAAAATAAACGGTCAAACAGGACGCCTATTGAGTTTTTGACAGCAGCCAGACTTCAGGGCTGGTATCTTTCTATTAATGTTTCAGTCACATGCAAATTAGGCATGTGAATTAAGAAATTTACGTGCTCTGAAAACAAACACTACGGGTACCGGTGCCCCCTTCCGAGCTCATTTTTATACTTTATTCTCTCCTTAATTTCATATGGATGTTTTCGCCTCGAACAGCAAGTTACAAAGAAGCAAAAGTAAGGGTTTTGAAGGCCCAGAACGCGGCGTTCCTTCTGAGATCATGGGGAGCACGAGGTATTTAAACTGTCAGGTTTTACGTGCAAAAAGGTGGGAATGTGAAACGGGCCGGAACGTACGTAAAGTTGACCTTCAGGGCCCACGTAACTAAAGAAAGCCCCCCCCCCCCAAAAAAGACATGTATTTATATGGCCTTAGGCTATCCTGCGACTATTTTACAACTTTTGAAAGGTCGAGGTCCAGATTGTAAGCCACGTTGGAAACAGCCCTGTTTGCATCATTGGTAGGATATGTACGTTATGATCATTATGTACGTAGGATATTATGGCGTACATGATTTGATTTTGTTTCTTTACTTTACCTTTGACTTATTAATTTTGGCGGCATTTTGCTCAGACCTCTTTATTCTTATATTTGATGACCCCCCTCTCCCCCTCCCACCCCCCCCCCCCCAAAAAAAACAGACAAAGAAAACAACAACAAAAAACACGCACGCACACCTTTTTCTAGGTACCGTCCAAATCCCAAAACTTTCAGCCATTGTTATCCTTTCAAAAACATGATTTGTGTGTGAATCTGATATGACTCTTGTAGTTTACAGAGAGTTTTCGTTCAGTAAAAGTTATGGTACGCTCTTTGGATACACATTTCAAAACAGAAACTTTTAGTCATCGTAACTGATATCAGGTAACAATTAGAAGACAGGCTGCCTCTGTAATATGCCCGAAGAACATGCTGATTAATGATTGTTTAACTTAAGCATTTGTGCCATGCTACTTTCTTGTTTTTTTAGTACAAGTGTAACTGCCAAGTAGACAGATGTAAGCGTGTGAAAAGTGGAGTTTTGGTTCCTGTGGTTCATGTAAAGAAAATTCGACACGGAAGTAAAGTAGGTGATGAGTTAGTACCATAAGGCGCACGTCATAAGCTCATGCATAATTTCATATCATCTTATTATTTTTGTTGTCTTGTATTAGTGCGCAATAGCAGGTTGTTTTGATTTATGTTACCGGCATTACCACGTTTTAAGTTCTCGTTTTTTTCTATCCTCCAGGACATAATTCATCGAAAATTGCGACTTGGGCAAAACATACGACAAAACAGGGATTAAGTGACTTTGTCACTCTTATCAGATCACTACAGAGTGTGAAAGAAAGAGAAAGAGAAAGAGAAAGAGAAAGAGAGAGGGAGAGGGAGGGAAAGAAAGAGAGAGCAAAAAAGACAACAACAACAACACCCCAAAATCAACCAACTATATCATGGCGGACACCGAGGACATCGATTCCGCGGAGCGAGGGTATCGACGGCTGTCGTCTCTCTTTCTGCCGCCACAACACAACTTGCAACGATGCCAGAGATGTAATCAGCCTGTGTATCAGCAGGAGAGAATCGGGCCCGTCAATGACGTCATCTTCCACAAGCAGTGTTTCAAGTGAGTGGTTTGGTTTTAAACTTCCACCTACAGACTTTGCTTTGATATTTGTTGCCTTAGACCATAGAAACTGGTGGTGGTGTTTGGGGGGG